AAACATAGTTGAAATAGCCATCTGGTAAAAATGTACAGTAATCAATAACTAATAACCCATGTTGGATTGTCATAACATTTTGTTAATTTCGTTTAAGAATATTACTAATGTACTATTTGTATTTATACATCTTTGTAATTTTGGTGTAGGAAATGATGTTAAACATCATGTTGCATTACATAATTCTCATGTATGGCATGTATGTGTTACTAAAATGCTATTTAATCATTTTAAATTCCGAAATAATGGGTGTTTAGTTCCATTATAAAGAAAAAATCATCTAGCAAGACTTACGGAGGTGCAGGTGAGCAATGCGTTTGCCTTCAATCTTTTCTGTAAGATCTGGAACAAATTTTCTGAAGTATTTTGCAAATAATATAGTTCAGCTGTGCCACCGGTAAAATCCTCAAGGGCTTCTGCAGGTAGACCTCCTGATAGTGCTTCATAGGACCCATTCAACCTATGGGGGAAAAAATCCTGAAATATTACCTGGTAGGACTAGTAAAGTGATGTTGGCCATGCCAGCTGTTGTAAACTAAAAAGACTCATCCAACCACTTATTGAACCTCATGGAACCCCGAGTCTAGAACAGTTAGAACATCTGGAATGCCAAATATGACAGATATTATGCTGGTTTTAGAGCAGAGGCTTACTACAACTATGCAGTCCTTATATACACTATAAATATCTAATAAATTAACCATGATAAATATATTATGTCTATATAATTAGTAATAATTTTATGAGCGCAACTTAAAATGTTGGATTCATTCATACACTGTCTTAACAAAAGACTTAAAAAAAAAAAAAAAAAAATCTCTTTATGAATAACGAGTTACAAGGAATATCATTCTGAGAGAGCTCATTGAGTAATTTGTTAGTATTACTTACTTGGCATAGGCTTTTTCCAGAAGTGCACTCCAAAACTCATTGCCAGCAAGTGACTTCACAAACACCAATTTCCCTGATTTTGTTGGTAGCTGGTCATCCACCACAACATCAACCCACTCGCCATACTGCCAGAACTAATGGAAGCAAGGTTACATTGTTACCATTCAAGATGAAGGATCCATGAATTAAAATATTGCACATTATTAGGCATTCTAAGATATCTCTAAACAGGACTAATAAAAGGTGAATGCATGAAGACTGTAAGAATATAGAGATGTTATCTAGGGAATATGAAGACGGTGTGATAATGTGCACTGATCCGAATAGATGTCTATTTCTCATTCCTTTCCTATTGTACAAGTGTGGCTGACTTTTAGCAGATGTTATGGACTACTTCTTCCCTAATGCTTTGCCAGCATTATTGCTGTAAGGGCCCTCTCTACAATAGTTCCACCACTTTGGAGAATAGAGGGAGTCAGGTTTCTCTCTCTGGCTGCTTTATTACATTACCCTGTTTCTGTCATTAATGGACTGGTTGTAAACTGAGATTGGTCGGCAGGAGGGGGTGTGGGGGGAGGTGAAGGAGGGGGTGGCTGAAGGAAGTCTCCTAACTTAGAGACGTGCCCAACAATGCAATCTGACCACTTTTATAGTAACTTTATATACATGTTTTACATACTTGTCAAGCTTTTTCTTGCTTTATTTTGGTTAGTATGCTTTTTTTAAAGAGTTTGTTGGTGGTTAAAAGAAAAATGTCAAGCCATGCATGTCCCATTAAACTATTGTTCCTACTTAACAAACGAAACCCAATATGCATTTTTGCCACACAATGTCCGTCTTTGTTATTTCAGCTATTCTCACATTTGCAAGGAATACTGTAGTCTTTACACTATGGAATGAATCTCAACAAATTTACTTTTCTTGAACACTAAAATAATGGTTTTATTAGTAGAAGTTACCCTGAAGTGGAAGATTCCTGCATAGTCAATATTCATACTTTGGTTTTCTGGCACCACAATGGACAGGAAGGTCTTATTCTGTGTAAGACTTGCGATAGAACACAAGAACCAACAATCACCTGTACAAATAAATAGTTATACATTGGTGGAAATATATTCAGCAGTGGTTTTAATGGAACATACGTAGGGTGCGTATGATGGACAATATTATATAAAGAATGTACAATAAGCTTAAAATTCAATAGAATCTTTTTTAAAGAAGAGAACGCAACAGCAGACTACTTGTATAAAACGTCTTCCCATGTCTTTTCACAGGGTACATCACCTTTTGATTTCATTGTAACATCATGCAGTAATTTATTGTATTTTTGGAGCATATTTTCCAAAACTAGTTTTGCTCATATAAATTCTAGCGTTTTCAGATTCACCATGTTTCTCCGAACACATAAAACTTCATGCTGTTTTGCAGCACAAGAAAAGTGCTTCCTTAGTATGTAGTAGTATTATGAAGCATTTATGCTACAGAAAGGAGACAAATTAATTACTTTAATCTTGTAGGGTATCCCAAATAATCTGCCTCCATCGATTTCCACCTTGCAGCACTACACTACATCCCATAATACATACTGCAGTGCTCAAATACAAATAATAGTTCTCTATACACAAAATCAATACTAAAAGGTTTGTATTTTGATAAGCATTTTTTATTTTTGAAACAGTCACAGATTTTATTTCCAAAAATATGCCGTTACTTACCCAAAGACCCTTGTCGAACATCTTCGCAAGTAGCTCCATCGATCATAAAACTTGCGTCAGATTTTATTTGCTGCAGACCATAAAATGTGAAACAAAATGTAGAAGTTAAAAGAAAGTAACCAATGTAAAAGAAACTCTATTGAAGTTTTCATTAGGGTTAGGAGTTCACCAATTTCTGAATGTGGGTCCACTATGCTCTCATAACACTGCACAAGTGTATGAACGCTTTTCCTTATAGATAGATACTTTTCATATTAACTGGCGATTCTTGTAACAAAGCAAGGTGCATTATTTTATCCCCCATCGAATTGAAAGTCTTGTGGATTCCCATCAGGCTATTTTGCTATATTTATACCCAAACAGAGAAAATCCTGTTTCCTTGTGCCATAGCTGTTATAGCTCAAACCTGATCTATTACATTTCAGACCTGTTTAGATGGGTAATAAAGTCTTTCTCAAAATAAGGTTGTCTCCAAGTGGCTATTCACTAAACAATAAAGTGCCGTGGCTTAGCAACCTTGAAGAGAAGAGTTGAACTTTATTCAACTCTATATCTTAGACAAAATTTTACGAAAGTTGTTTACACAAATCACAACAATTTGTTGGTTAGAACATAAACCCATCAAGTGTAAAGAGGAGATTTATCAAAGTACTCTGTTTTAAAAACTAGTGCAAAAATGAAAAATCGGAAGGGTCACCAATTTCTAAATGCTTGTTAGTTCAAGTGGTTTTCACGGTGATAGTCCCACTTTTAGTATTTTAGATCACTTTTTATAACTCAACATTTTGGTATTTTGGTTTTTAAATCAACTGAGCTATCTCTTTGGCTGGTGTAACTCAAAGTATTAGTGACCTATAATTAATATTAGAAAAACCTTTCTTTTAAACACTTTGTATTTTATTACATTGATATTTTTTTTCCCTGTCCATATAAATTAATTAAACAAAGCTGACATTATTACATTTATAGGTCACAAGATCAGTCATTATTTCTTACAACTACAAGTACCAAAAGCACACTGGAATATTCACTAAAAATATAAAAAATAAATACATAATAATAATAGAAAGCCCCAATAAAAACAGCGGCAGAAATGTCTCAGTGACCGCAAAATATTCAGTGAAAACATACACAAATAAAGTCAGCATTCAAAAATAAGTTATAAATTATAATTCCCACTTACCACACGTTATAGGCTACTGAGAATCTACAATGTTTACAATGTTTGATGTACTCTTAATTTTTTTTATAAATAATATTTGCAGATCAATACTTAATAAAGATTTATAAAAAAAAAATAATAATAAAAAAATGCACATACAGTAAGAAAATGCATTTATAAAAAAAGAAACATTTAGGTAAGTGTCATACCTGAACTGCATAGTATCCGTTAATTATTATTATTTATATAGCGCAAACAAATTCTGTACTTTAAAGGGACACTATAGTCACCAAAACAACTTTAGCTTAATGAAGCAGTTTTGGTGTATAGATCATGCCTGTGCACTCTCACTGCTCAATTCTCTACCATTTAGGAGTTAAATCACTTTGTTTATGAACCCTAGTCACAACTCCCTGCATGTGACTTGCACAGCCTTCCTAAACACTTCCTGTAAAGAGTCAGCTAACGTTTATTCTTCCTTTATTGCAAGCTCTGTTTAATTTAGATTTTCTTATCCCCTGCTATGTTAATAGCTTGCTAGACCCTGCAAGAGCCTACTGTATGCGATTAAAGTTTAATTTACAGAGAAAGAGATACAATTGTTTAAGGTAAATTACATCTGATTGATAGTGAAACCAGTTTTTTTTCATGTAGGCTCTGTCAATCAGAGTCAAGGGAGGTGTGACAAGGGCCGCATAAACAGAAACAAAGTGATTTAACTCCTAAATGTCAGTGAATTGAGCGGTGAAACATGAGACACATGATCTATACACTAAAACTGCTTCACTGAGCTAAAGTTGTTTAGGTGACTATAGTGTCCCTTTAATAATAATGTTGAAACAAATTAATGCAGTTTCTATCCCAATATTGGATTTAGTTTATAAAGGATATTTCAACAATCCTCTTTAGTGTTAATTGAAGGAATCCCAACGTAGGACTGTAGCAAAAAGAGATTCTATGGAATTCTAAAAAATGTTTAATTGTTTCTTACCGCAGGCCGTTTCCAGACAATGCCCTTTGCTTTCTCAGATCCTGGACCCCAGTCTTTTAGACCCAAAGAAGATGAAGATGGAGGGAATGCTGGATCTTCAAATAATCTACCTGAGGCCAAGCACTGAGCTCGCAGCTCCTCAAAATCCTGCTCTAAATATTTCACAGGGTTATTAGGAGTGCCAAGCCCTTGAGCTACAGCTCTGTCTCTGGAAATTCTGACAGCGATTCCTGACATGATGTAGTGTCTTCCCTGCAGGTGTCTATAGAATGGGTTCAGGACAGCAGCTGAGAGAGAGCTTTATAGGCCTTCTGGTCTGATAGTGAAAGCCCTGGAGATGTTATCTGTGGGTGGACTTTAAAAAAAAAGTCTGTGACACTGGAGACACTGAATGAAAGACAGGGAGGTGTTTATAGGACTGAACATTTCCTTTATAGTTTTACTATACAATATGCCCTAGAACTGTCCTATTTATATAGTAGATTAAACACTCTAGAACACAACAAATGCCAGAAAGATAAAGTTAGTAAACACTAACTCAGAGATGAACAAGACATTTTATTTTCAGTAGAGTTTGCTTTGTCTGTGAAATTAGCTTTCCTTTCCTCTTTCTGGTTTTATTAAAATGTGTCACAGCCGCTTTTACGAAGAACATTTGATGCATTTTTTTAATCTCTCAGGTTTTTTTGTCACTTGCCTCTTTTGCCCCCTTATTAGTATTTTTGAATGTAGCAATCTATTACATCCTCCACTACCAACCATTTCAATCTTTTAACCCCTTCACTACCAACCATTTCAATCTTTTAACCCCTTCACTACCAACCATATCAATCTTTTAAATCCTCCACTACCAACCATATCAATCTTTTAACCCCTTCACTTCCAACTATATCAATCTTTTAACCCCTTCACTACCAACCATATCAATCTTTTAAATCCTACACTACCAACCATATCAATCTTTTAACCCCTTCACTACCAAGCAGTTGACAAAAAAAAAAAACACTCACAGAATCCCAGAATTTTGGGATTTTGTATTAAACAAAAAATGTTGGCTGAAGAGAAAAACCAATTAATGAAGTTACAGATAAGAACAGAGTGTTGTAAATAAATAACATTTCTCAATAGGCTATCAAGACTTTTTTCCTTGGTTTTTACATAGTCTATAATCCTCTCACCTGTACATTGTCCAATAATCACAAATTTCTCCGTTTATATATATATATTGCCCTATGTATATTGTATATGTTGCCACTTTGGACACACACAAATACACGTACACTCTGATATACATAGAAACATAGAATGTGAGGGCAGATAAGAACTATTCGGCCCATCTAGTCTGCCCAACTTTCTAAATACTGTCATTAGTCCCTGGCCTTATCTTATAGTTAGGATAGCCTTATGCCTATCCCTCGCATGCTTAAACTCCTTTACTGTGTAACCTCTACCACTTCAGCTGGAAGGCTATTCCATGCCTTAACTACCCTCTCAGTAAAGTAATACTTCCTGATATTATTTTTAAACCTTTGCCCCTCTAATTTAAGACTATGTCCTCTTGTTGTGGTAGTTTTTCTTATTTTAAATATGGTCTCCTCCTTTATTGTGTTGATCCCCTTTGTGTATTTAAATGTTTCTATTAGATCCCCCCCCTGTCTCGTCTTTCCTCCAAGCTATAATGTTAAGATCCTTTAACTTTTCCTGGTAAATTTTATCCTGCAATCCATGAACCAGTTTAGTAGCCCTTCTCTGAACTCTCTCTAAGGTATCAATCCTTCTGAAGATACGGTCTCCAGTACTGCGTACAATACTCCAAGTGAGGTCTCACCAGTGTTCTGTACAATGGCATGAGCACTTCCCTCTTTCTACTGCTAATACCTCTCCCTATACAACCAAGCATTCTGCTAGCTTTTCCTGCTGCTCTATTACATTGTCTGCCTACCTTTAAGTCATCAGAAATAATCACTCCTAAATCCCTTTCCTCAGATGATGAGGTTAGGACTCTATCAAATATTCTGTACTCTGCCCTTGGGTTTTTACGTCCAAGATGCATTATCTTGCACTTATCCACATTAAATGTCAGTTGCCAAAACTCTGACCATTTTTCTAGTTTACCTAAATCATTTGCCATTTGACTTATCCCTCCTGGAACATCAACCCTGTTACATATCTTAGTATCATCAGCAAAAAGACATACCTTACCATCAAGACCTTCTGCAATATCACTAATAAAAATATTAAAGAGAATGGGTCCAAGTACAGATCCCTGAGGTACCGCACTGGTGACAAGCCCAAGCTTCGAATATACTCCATTGACTACAACCCTCTGTTGCCTGTCACTCAGCCACTGCCTTACCCATTCAACAATATTGGAATCCAAACTTAAAGATTGCAGTTTATTGATAAGCCTTCTATGTGCAACAGTGTCAAAAGCCTTACTGAAATCTAGGTAAGCAATGTCTACTGCACCACCCTGATCTATTATTTTAGTTACCCAATCAAAAAAATCAATAAGATCAGTTTGGCATGATCTCCCTGAAGTAAACCCATGTTGTCTATGATCTTGAAATCCATGTGTTTTTAGATGTTCAACAATCCTATCCTTTAACATGGTTTCCATTGCTTTCCCCACTACTGAAGTAAGGCTTACTGACCTATAGTTGCCCGACTCCTCCCTACTACCTTCCTTGTGAATGGGCGCAACATTCGCTAGCTTCCAATCTTCCAGGACTACTCCTGTTAACAATGATCGGTTAAATAAATCTGTTAATGGTTTTGCTAGTACACCACTAAACTCTTTTAATAACTTTGGGTGTATTCCATCCGGTCCCATTGACTTATTTGTCTTTACTTTTGACAGTTGAAATAAAACCTCTTCCTCTGTAAACTCACATGTAATAAATGGCTCATTTGTCCTTTTTCCTAACTGAGGTCCCTTTCCTTCATTTTCATCTGTAAATACTGAACAAAAATATTAATTGAGGCAGTCAGCTAGACCTTTATCCTCTTCTACATACCTTCCTTCTTTTGTTTTTAATCTAACTAATCCTTGTTTTAGTTTCCTTTTCTCATTAATGTAGCTAAAAAATGTTTTGTCCCCTTTTTTTTACTGACTGTCCTATTTTCTCTTCTGTGTGCGATTTGGAAGCGCTTATAACTTGTTAGCCTCTTTCTGCCTAATCTTATAGAGCATTCTGTCTTCCTCACTCTGTTTTTTTTTTTTATAATTAATAAATGCTAACTTTTAGTTTTTTACTATTTTGGCCACATCTGCGGAGTACCATAGTGGTTTCTTTAATTTTTTGCTTTTACTGACAAGCCTAATGCAATTTTCTGTTGCCTTCAGCAGCAGTGCAACTTTTAAATAATCCCATTTCTCTTGGACTCCATTTAAATTGTTCCAATTTGATAATGACTACTTTACACATATTCTAATTTTAGAAAAGTCTGGTTTTTTTTTAAGTCTAAAACTTTTGTTTTTGTGTGGTGTGACTCAGTCACTGTTCTTATATTAAACCATACTAACTGATGATCACTGGATCCTAAACTTTCACCTACAGTAATATCTGATACCAAATCTCCATTTGTTAACACTAAATCTAGTATGTCCTCCTCACGAGTTGGCTCCTCAATGACTTGTTTTAGAGACAATCCCAGTAGAGAGTTTAGAAGATGTATACACACTCATATATATATATATATATACTTTATTACATGCACATACACGCACATACACACACACAAGCACACTGATGTACAAAGACACACAATGACACAGACACACACACACACATTGACAGATATTGTCACACAATCACAATGTGTCTGTCAGTGGGTAATGGTACCTGTGTGTGCATCTCTGGCATTGTGCAGAGTGTATGTGCCTGAGAGTGTGTGTCTGACAGTGAGTATCGTTGTGCATTTGTGAGGGTATATCTGTATGTATCCGTCTGGAATGCATATCTGTGTCTAGGGTGACAGGGGTGATTTTGTGAGTGTGTGTGGTACTGTCTGGGAGAGTGTATGTCAGTGTGTGTATTTGTGTGTGCCATTGTATATATGTGTATGTGTTTCAGTGAATATGTGTAGCTGTGTGTGTCAGTGTGGGTATATGTGTGTATGTTTGTGTCAGTGTGGGTATATGTGTGTCAGTGTGCGGATATGTGTAACTGTGTGTAGCTGCATATGTGTATATATTTGCATACATCCTGCACTGGTGGTTTGATCATTCATGTTTAATATAACTGTCAGGACTATCACTATAATGAGATATTTGCCTAACTCTGGCATAGAATAGGTTAAGAATAAATTATGATAGATCATAAACAAAAAAAGAAAAAAATGCCATTCTACCTGTGTATGATTTGCTGAGAAGATTATAGGCTTAAAAAGTAACTTTTAATAAATAAATCTAGAATAAAAATGAAAAATAATATGAACAGCAGGAGTGAGTGGAGACTATACAGCGAGTAAAACTCTGTGACTACTTATATAAGCTGTAAAAGTGTATACATAATAGCACTAATGCTGAAGCAATACTGTTTGCTACAATATAACATCAGTGTATTCCCAAGTAATAGAAGTGATACTGTATTATATATCACCAATAGCTGTAACAAGAGGGGGGAGATAAGACGACTGCTAAACCAGTGCTGTCAATAGTTAAAAGATTTATGGATAAGTAGATCCCTACATGATAGTACAACTAACGACATGGGTTAACTCCACGTACAACAATTGATAATGTTCTATGGTGCTTAACCTCAAAAGGATCAAAGATAATGGTTCAGCTGAGACAGATTTCTGACAGACGGCAATTAGCCAGTTAAATATCACAAAAGCTTTTTTCTTTTTTTTTTCTTTTTTCTCGCATTGATATTTTGGCTAGCATTGTTAAACAAGTGAATATAAGCATAATGAAATTCTACACACACAATGTCAGAGGTTTAAATATACCTCATAAGCGATATGCCCTATTGAAAGAACTACGTAGCCTACAAGCAAACATAATCTGTCTCCAAGAGACACATTTTAAACATAGTTCTAATCCTACAATAAATGCGAAAAAATTTCCGCATCAATACCACGCTACATCTCCAACTAAAAGCAAAGGAGTTTCGATATTGGTGAGTCAAGCATTGGCTTTCGATCAAATATCTGTCCAATTAGACCCACAAGGCAGATTTATTATTCTTATCTGTATATTAAATAATACTACTTATACAATAGTCAATTGTTACTTCCCAAACAAAAAACAGGCAAGCTATATGTCAACCCTTTTAGAAAAAATTGAGAAAGTTCAAACAGGTATTCTAATAATATGTGGAGATTTTAACCATATAATGGACCCTAACGCAGACTCGACAGCTCTTCATACACATAAAAGGGGAAAATCCCTGCAAAAGCAATGTACCTCTCTTAACAAAACATTAGCTTCATATGGTCTATATGACATATGGAGAACGACCCATCCAGAAGACCGAGAATACACACATCACTCACGAGTGCATAATACCTATTCGCGTATAGATGGATATTTTATGCTTAGTACACATTTGGATCAGGTTAAGAGTTGTGTGATCGGTGTTACAACAGAGTCAGATCATAACCCAGTGATACTCACTCTCTCAGATTCATATCAATACAAAGATAAAAGCCCATGGAGATTAAATGAACAGTTGTTTAATGATTCCACATTTAAAGATA